ACTGGATCGTTGCATTAAACTATTGCAAAGTTATTGTAATAATTTCACCAGATTTCTCATCATCCTGGCCACAGTGCTACAAACCTTTACAGTTAAGAAGTCTTACTGAATAAGGTAAGAAGCTGTTGCTCAGCTTTTTTCTGCATCTGATGTTGCAATAATTACTGCCAGAGGACAGCAGCAAGAACTGACCATGACATTAATGTCTACAGTCTGTTGGTTTTATCCACAAGTGACAGGCAGCTTTTAGCCCCTATGACCTTAATGGTAGGAAGGACTCATGTCCATTTTTGTACTGCCTACCATAAAGAGCTAAGGCGATTAGGTAAAAAGTGGTGATATATCCTTTTCAGGCCTGGTTCACAAGGCAAGATTTTGTATTGCCATGTCTCAGGAGACAAATCTAAGAGATCCCAACCATGACGATATGATGTTAAAAAAATGTGGATACAGATCTGGTGTATGCCAACCGGCGAGCACAAACACACCACAACACCAGGCAAACAGATTCCATTCAGAGAAATTTGGATAGACAGGAAATCTCACATATATTTTAAGGATGAATACGGAGTTTATGGTAACAAAAAACATAATCAAGAAAAAGAAATGGTCTATTTCTTTCACCAAAATTAATAAGCAAATATGTTGGGTTGTTTGTGTTGACAGAACCAGCAGGGGCATGTTGAAAAAGCTTCTGTTTTATCTATGAAAACAATGCATATATTACTCTATGGGCACTCAGTTCTTATTTGGTTCATGTAAGAACAATTCTATACAAAAATTTAAACAAAACATTATTTACAAGGCTGCTTCCACAGACATATTTAAAGGTTAGTGATTCTCACCAGTCAGGAGAATGAATGTCATTTTGCAAATACAAACTCTTATGGGAACACAGGCATGTCATCTCCCTCTCTTCATCAAAATTGGGCCAGCACTGTTCTGAGATATTGCATGTGACTCATGGGCATGCAGAAACATTTCCACAGCTCCTTAACTGTGGGAAACATTTAGGTTTAGCTCCGTCTCCCTGTTTTCAGGAATTTCTTTCTGCTTGGTGGGTGAAAGTCAGTAAATAAAATCACATTTTTTGTTCCAAACCCAGCATTTACCTTTTTTTTGTTGAAGAAAATGTTACACTGAGGAAGCCAGGGTGAAAAATATGAATTTTATTATAACAATATTAACCGCACATATTCCCTCTGCTGCATCGTTCAAAGCTGAAAGCACTATTTGGAGAGCACACCAGCAGGAAAGCGATCAGCTACATGAAGATGTAAGTGATGTGCATGGGCGTACGCTTTTCTTTCACTCAGAAATTTGCACATGCAGAGCTGCTCTTATTGCATATATTAGAATGTGGTAGCAGGGAGGTCCTTTTGATGAAAGTGGGTTTCCATGTATATTTAATACCATAGTTTGCCAAGCTCTGCTTGAGTGTGGAAGGTAATAAGGACTGGCACGTTGAAAAAGCTCTGTTCTGCTCGTCTCCTCCCCTTGTGTGCCAGCAGACGCTGCACAAAGCTGCTCCAATTTTTGACTTTTGCCCTTTCTACCTGTCATTAAAAAGTGACTTCACCTCCATGACTCATGGCCACCTCTGTCTGTATTTGTAAAGATATTAGTCTATATGTGCTTGCTTTGCCGAATTTAATCACACAATAAAAAGTAAATATTTAAAGTTTAGCATATTTAGAATGAGAAAACAAGCAGTGATGGCATCATAATATGCTATAAATGATAAAATATCTGAATCTAATAATTCAAAGTATCTTAAACAGTTCAGTTACTCTTTTTCAGCTTTTCAGCGCTTTATGTTACTTCTTAGATTCGTAAAAAATATTTCTCTCCGATCAATGTGGAAGAGGTGGTGTTAAAACAAAGGTATTAGACAAAACACACCGTGTTCAGGATCAATAGTTAACCTTAAATGTATTTTTCCAAACTGAGGGAGAGAAGGATGGTCATCTTAACAAACACAAGCGTGGACAGGAAAAAGAAGCAGACTACATGCAAAGGCTGAGGTTAAGGGAGCTTTGAAACAAAGACCTTCCTTCCTATGAGGTGATGCCCTTAATGAGTAATGCAGGAAGGCTGTGCTGCCAAGGCTGCAACATGAAATTGATTAATGTTATGACTCTGACTGTGTTGACTTTTTTGCAACCTGGAGGTAGAATGAATGAATGAATGAATGAATGAATGAATGAATGAATGAATGAATGAATCCATCCATCCATCCATCCATCCATCCATCCATCCATCCATCCATCCATCAATCCATCCATCCATACATCCATCACTGAAAAGGATCAGCATCTGCAACGAAAAATTATCTTTGATTTTTCTGGTTGTGCAAGCAAATAGAGATCGGGTCGTGCTGTGAATGAAAAACAACCAAGGATTTTTTTCTTGACAGGCCAACAATCAAGGTGTGAAGTAACAGCTCCCAACAGAATTGTCCTGACATTTACTCTTCAACAAAAACAACAAAAAAAGTTATTTAGCCTTTGTGTATAGGGGGTGGGGGGGTCACGTCAGGGTAAGGGTTCCATTGATGTATACAGCTTAGGGAAACAGGAATAAATGTTTCTGTAACTCACAATAGTCAATAGTCCACCAGTGCCTTTGTGCACACAGCAGACTGACCCTTCGTGTTGCTCTTAAAGGAGACACAACCTCAGCCTTCTGCTGTTAGAGGAGCTCTGTGTAACGTGTTTAGTAGTGCATGTACCAGGTAGAACAGTGTGATACACAGCAGCCACTCAGGAGACTACGTAAAAGAACTTTGTTTTAATTATTCACCTGTTAGTAGTCCGCCTTAAACAACAGGCCAAGCTGTGTTCCCTATATATGCCTCACTTAGAAAGTTTTCAAGGGCTCTCAATAATGATCGACTCATAAAAGAATGAGCACATGGTACATTTTCATTACAAAAACCTGCTCCTAAATGAAAAAAAAAAAAAAATTATTTGAACCTTACTTTTTTTCTCAGTAGAATAGCTTATTTGATAAGGAATAATAATAATATGGGCCGTGTGAATCTGTATGGAATTTGATTCCCAGCCCTATGCCATCAACAGCATATTTTATCTGTTTGTCTCCTTTCCCCCTGTCCAACTACTAATGATGAAGGTGCAACAAAAAGCTTTAAAAGTGATCTCTATATTTGCATATTTTCCCTGTTCACGCTGATGGATACACCTCCTATCTGCTTCTTAAAAGAAATCTAGTATGATACACAAGTGTGTGGGTATTATTATCTTTTCTGTGCTTTGATAATTTCTTTGTTTATTTTGTGAAGGTCTACTATTTCCTGCTTACCATTACTGGAAAGGTGCTTACATATAAGTTTATCCTTATGCGTTGAGTTTCGCATTTCATTCTGAAGTTATGCTCTTTATACATTTGGATTTATTTATCTTACTTTAGGAGTTTCAGGGTTAGTTCATCTCATGTTGGTCCAGAGCCTTTTCTCCGCCTAAATATAAATGAGTGCTGGGTGCGGTCTCTGCTGTGGTTGACAGCTGCACATTGGCACTTACAGTGATACAAACATGGAAAGCAGAGTAACATAGTGATGATAGTTTTTGTGTTGGAGCAGTCGTAGGATGTGGGGGATTTCTCTCCACCATATTCACCAGAATCCAGGCTCAAAACTAATGTCAAATCATTTTCTTAGAATTGATAGAAGACAGATTTGTTTGTGTCCAATTTTAAAGCCGACATCAGTTCTCACCTGCTGACGTGACATGTCAGATCTTTTAATCTGAGGTAGTCTCCAAACAGTCGGCTAAAGACTCAAAGGCAGAATTTCAACAATTGTGCATTAAATTGTCACAAGGCCTGAGATGTGTAGACAGCTCTTTAAAACATGTATGTATGTATGCAGTTTTTTAGCGTAAAAAAGGGGATTTAGGTGAGTAGTATTTTAAACTTACTGGCATTGCTCTTGGTTGGATCCCCTGCCTGTTTTTCTACTCTAGCTCCATGTCTCCTTATGCACCCCGGTAAGTTTTCAAATGTATTATTAGAATTTCAAGTATTTCCATCACATTTTTCATCACAACACACCTGAGTCGACATTTTTCTTGTTTGTACTTTGCTCCTTTACCAAAAATTCACATTTCACAAAAATAATATCTGGAACTTCACATGCTTTGTTGTCTAGAAGTGGAAAACCGTAAGATCAAATTCAAAAAGAGTACAAATGAGCATTGTTTAATTTATGCAGACAACCTGTGGGTTTTTTTACTGAAAACCTCCATCCTCATAGGATCACAGTATGCCCCTCTACTGATTTCTGCTTCCAGTGATATAAATTGAGAGCAATCTGCATTATGCAATATCAAGGACCCAAAAAAGAAACATCTATCAACCTTCATGTCAATGGCTTCAAAATGTTTTCCTTGAATGAATCTGTATTAGGGCTGGAACTAACTGTTATTTTACAAGTTGATTAATCTGTTGATTATTTTTTTGATTAATAAATTTTTCATCTGATAGCCAAAACTAAAACTTATCCACTTGAGTTCTGGATAGAGAATATTGATAGACGAAATATTTTTTTTTATCCTAAATGCAAAATGTTTATATATTTTTATATAATTTTGGTAGAATTACTACTCTGAGTAGGTTCCTCTGTCAGCTAAAAGCATGCCTTAGAGTCTCTACATTTCAGTTTATAGTTAATTGATTGCTAAATTAGTAGACAATTTGTTCAATAATCAATTAATCTGGATTAATCTGATTACCGGTAATTTTTTCAGCCCTAATCTGTATTAGTTCTATATGGAATCGTGTCCACTCTGGTGAGTTCTGGGAGTCTAATGGTTTAAAATTGTTAGAAAAACATGGTAGTTTGTAAAAAAAATTGCCTCTGCTTTTGGAACATTTGCAATATTTTGTCTCTTTTTAAACCCCTGTGGCACATAAAGGAACATCCATACATTAAAATAAATCACGTTGTTTAAATGAAATAAATGACAAACTATACATTAGTGCTAGTTGCAAATCTTTTTAATTTCAGCAATGGTACGACACACAGAATGTACCTTGGGCAACAACTATAAAAGGCACTTATATTCAGTAGTTCCCATCAGTTTTTTGCTCATTACTTGTAAGAAATCATTTTTACATATATAAAATATCATGTTACCATTTTTCTTTTACTTTTCTCACACCTGTACAGCTTCATGAAATATTACATCTACAAACCTGAGGCACTAAAAAAAGAAAAAAACAATTATAAAGCTTGCTACACAGTAGCAAATTTAACCAAAATAAATTAATAAAATAAGTTTAAACAACAGAAATCTGACTAGAGATACATTTACCATAAATTTACTAAATAGACTATCTTGTCAAATATGCAAAATATCTGTAACCTATGGCTGATCCGTTTGGTGAAATAAAATGTTTAACATTCAGGATGAAATGATGGCCACTTATCAGAGGACATCAAGGCTCAAAATGAACTTATCCAACCATGTAGTGCTTTCCTGCCTCCCATTCTTCACACAGCACTGATATGCAGCCAGGTCACAGACATGTTCTAAAAAAGAATCCAGTGTTTTCATCCGGCACTCGATCATAGCAAGTTGCTAAACAACACATTTGTGATGAACCATTTCTGTCCAGTGCATTTCTGCAGAGCCAGTTGGTAGCCGAACTCATTGTCGCTGCTCACCACAAGCTCCAGGCATCTCTTTGATTTTCTGTTCTGAATGGATCCTCCCTGAAAAGATAAAAGCAGGCTAGTTAAAATTTTGCTGGACTCGACAAGAGCAATTTCTGCAAAATGCAATTTTCCATTTCTAAACCCACAATGCTGTTAAAGAATACCAATGTAAGCTGCAGAAGTACCCTCCTCATTGGGCTCAAAAGATACCATCAGTGTATTTAACAATACAGAATTTAAGTGTATAAAACATAGAACAATAAAACCATAACAATGCTTTGTCACATCTTTTCAGCTTCTTCGCAAATCAGAAACCATTTAATAAAGGATAAAATGACTGTATATTTACATCCATGGCAATTTTAGAATTTTATAGGTAAAGGATAAATGTGTAAGAAAGAGAGAATAAAACAGATTATTAGCTCTATAATTGCCAGAGCCTGAACAGAAAGAGCCTATGAGCCGAGTAAAAGCACTACACCGAGCCTTGATGAAACGAGGCAGGATTTACCTATTACAGTGTCAGGGCCGACCAAAGAGGGCTTCAGCAGTCATTGCAATGTGAAGACATTAGTATAGAGAGAGCTATGCTCTCCGCTAATTTAGAGCTAAAAGGTGTGAGAAGAATGGACATGAATGTGACGGCTTATAAAGACTGAGCTTTAAGTTAGATGTTTGACTTTTCTATGGTGTCACTAAATACTAAAATATTAATATTATTATACAATATTATAAAGTCAAAAAAACTGAAGTAAAAACTCTAATTTTGTTCAAACATGCTGAAAAGCATTTTTTTTAAATTGGGCAAACGAAGTAGGATAGTTGTGTTAATAGCTTGAAGTGCAAGCAGGCAATATTATCATATACAGAAAAATATAGATAAAATAATTCAGTAAGCGTTCTTGGTGTTTTGCATTATTGTCTTCTGAAGATTCCCAAATGAACCCATTCAGCCTTTAATTGAAATTTTACATTTGACCTGCAAAAACTGAACTTAGTAAACTGTAATTCTGAATGAGTAAGATAAGATGCTGACTTGCAGCTTTCATATCTACATAAAATATAAGTCTCCCAAATTCTACTTATCTACTTATAGAAGAGAAGATCTAATTTAGGCTATTTTTATGAGGGGTTTAATCTGGATTTTCTGTCTCCATGATAGAACAATGGGTATTTTTATGTGATGAATATAAAATAACCCTCACATTCCTGCAACCCATAGAAGTCTGACTAATCTGTTTCCACATCTATACACATTACTCTCATTCTGCAAAGCACGGCTCATGGCAATCAATTACAATAAGTGGATTTTATGGAGACTAAAAGAAATGAAACAATCTTACAGCTTTAAAATAAATAGGATTAAAATATATTGTGTCATGAATGTTTTCTACAGACTAGCGCGGTATTTTTAGTGAGATCAAATAAATCCTTTCTTTTATTTGCAGATGTTTCTGTTTTGCAGTTTCTTCGGCTGCATCAAAGTGATCTATTTCCGTTTCAGTTTGACACTTTGCACATGTGCAGACACAACCGTGTCAATAATTGATTCCACATTTCAGAGACATGATAAGCTTCAGCTTCGCTGACGCGCTCCCACAGCGCTTACTGCATTATGCAGCGTTAACTACAGTAAAGATCAGTGAGGATCTGTGACATTTGAGCTCGAGCATGAAAAACCTTTTTTGCCAATGATGGTGTAAAAAGATGCAGACAAATGAGCTCTGTCAGTGCAGTGTGGAGAAGGTCAAAGGGATGATGTTTTTTTTTTTTCTCAAATAGGCCTAATCTCAAAGCATATAGGTTGAAAAGTTACATCTTACTTATAGTGAAACAGAGGCCTAGGATTACTGCTGTTATGACAGCAACAGAAGGTCCTCTTAGGCCAAATATGCAATAAATACGGCTTTATTGCCATTATGAGGCATATGGTGAGATGTCTGCTGGCTCTGAAAAAATACAGCTTAAACATCCCAGGGCTTTAAATGTCAATGTTATAAAGTTTCAGTGACAAAATAAGGCGCACTATAAAATGAGAATCCAATATTTCAAAGCAACTGCCACCACTCTAAGGGTGGATCAACTTTTAGTTGACACAAAAGCCCTGTCATCATTAGGTGTTTCTGGAGTAAACACTTTTAAGGAGTCTGTGCATGTGAGCAGACATGTTACACATCCCTGACAAAATATTCTTACCCTGTGAGCTTGTTAACATTTTTAAAGTCATGACCACAAACATCTGCAGATACACTGGAAGGAGTTCATGTGCTAGACCCACATAAAAGAAAATGGCTTAGTTTTAAAACGTTTTTCAACAGAAATAATAATAATAAAAAAAAATCTGAGAAGCAAGGCTCGCATTTGCATGCAGTTCCCTTTTCTTGAACCCCCTAAATGAGAAGCCGTCACATACAATGCCACCAGAAGTCCACTGGTGAGTATGCAAGAATAATAGTTTTATTGCTTCTTCCTGGAAAAAGCAGCAGAGAGGGTGAATGGTGGCAAACTGGGTCAGAGAGGGAGTAGCAGGCCATTGTGGCCGTTTTCAGGAGTTAGGGGATGTGCTCCTCGGTCCAGGAGGAGTAAAAGCAGGCCCCTGGGATTTCCCAAGGAATAAAAGAGAAATGACCATCAGCTTTGACGAGCAATTTGCAGCACTCAAAAATCAGGAGGATTTCACTTAGACTGTGTAATGATTCTTCCCATTTTGGACTTTTTGGTCCTGTTTAAATTTCTTTTTGAGTTTTAAGTTACACTTTGATTTATGTCATTCTGTGTTTTATTAGGCATTGGTTTCTTTTCCATTTTGTGTCATTCTAGTTGTTTTCTAGTTGTATTTTTTGAGTTACTCTCTTCTGACCCCTTGTGCAAGTCTCCTTTCCCTTAGCTCCCTTCTGGTTACCTCTATCCACATCTGCTCCCTATCAACTGATTAGCCCTCTGGTTCTATCTCCAATATATACACTTCCTGTGCAGTTCCTCATTGCAGGATTATGATCATTCTATTCTATTCTATTCTATTCCTTATGAGCATCTCCTAGTTTTTGATTCCTGAGTTCCTTGCCAATTGTTTCTGGATTATTTGCTTCTCTACTATTAACATCTTCCTTAAATCTGCAAGAAATCATCTCTGCCTTTCCGTTTCTGCATCTGATTCCTCAACAAACATCCACCAAACCTCACAGACTGATCACTTCTTTTATTAATATTATGCAATTGAGGCATCACCTTCTAGCTTTATTGTAGCCCAAACATCATTAAATTAAAAAGGCAACTAACCAGATGAAATAATGATTTTGACACTTAAGTGTAACTTGCTCATTTTTGACAGTCAGCAACCTTTTCTCATGCTGTTTGGCGGCTCCTTCATGCCGCAACTGTGTTGACTTTTCTTTGAGACTTTTTTTTCTTCTCACAAGAGAAATACAGCACGCTGTCTTCTGTGCTCATGGTTGTGATTGCACTGCTACTTTGAACCCGCCCCTTTATACATGTGCGTTCACAGATTCATTATCAGTTAAAGCTGGATTGAGTTAGAGAGTTGATAACCAGGTTGGTCGTACCACTGATCCTGATTCCCATTGTTATTGATTGGTCAAACTGGATTGGCTGGAAGTAACCCCACTAGGTTGAGCTCGCTTTATGGTACGGGTCTCTGCTTAGCAGTGGGAAACTGTTCTGAGCTTTGATTATCATCAGTGGGTGATTCAAATTAAAAAACTGCAGTCACCTCACCTCAAGTTTAATAAATGCACCATTTGCTGTCTTTCCACCAGCTTCCCTTTTGTTGTAGTAAGCACAGCATTTCTTTGTAAAGCTTTTTTTTTAGGTATTTTAATCATTTTGTATTCATTTTGTAGCATATACTTCCCTTTACCTTGCTTCGACCAAATCTATAGTTAGCAAAAAATGCTGTATTTTACAAAATGAATCATTTAAGTTGCAGCAGACGCAAAGTGAGTGATCAACTTTTAACACTTCAGAAATCCAAAGCATTCTAGGAAAATATATTCATGGCTTTCAAAACAGCCTGTACAGTCATTACAGCCATGCATTGACTGGACAGACCTGTTAGGAAGCACAAAAAGTGCCATCTAAAACATGTTCTAAAATGTGGATGGCAACAGCCTTAATGAAAGACGAACAAAAGAGAAGGGACTGAATTTAAAGGTAAAAAAAAAAAAAAGATTCCTATGCTTTGCCAGGTATAGTTAAAGTGTTCAGGATTCATCACCTGAGTAAAGAGCCAGTGGACCTTCATGCGTTTGGCTGCAGCGTAGCTACACTCAATGAGGCGTGGCCTGCCATTGACATCTACCAGGCACTTGTTGTCATCATCATCAATGGTGGGACTGAGCAGCCCAACAAGGAATTGTTGGTTACTGGTGTAGTAGACATTCTGGAAGAGACAACACATCCAGACTGAATAATTGTATTTAATGAACATTTACAGAAAATGCTCTCCCACAAAAAGCTTGACCTGCTTATGCAGATGCTTAACAATGTCAGACATTTAATGTTTATTTCTTCCCTAATGAAATGCATAAAATGCCTGTTAGTGTGCAGTAAATGTGCTAGAATCATAGCATACTTAGGTTAAAAATACCCACCCCCCTTAGAAATAGAAATAGCTTTGCTAACCACCTTACCATTGATTCGGCATAGGAGACAAAAGAAAAGCTTCTGAGAATAAGCAGTCAAAAAAGCTTTAAATAATTTGAAACACTAAAGCATAATAATGTATTTTGTTATTGTCACAAAACTGGTTTTTGTACAGTTTGGTTTAGCAGAGCAACAACACATAGATGATTAATACTGTGTTGCAAATGACTCAATATATCTGTGAATTTGAGCAATTTAGAGCTCCAGAAGGGTAACTTTCCCATAGAAAAAAGACCTGTTCCTTACAGAAAATCTTTAATACCCTAGTTTTACAAAACTGTAAATCAGTCTTCAATACAGAACAAGAAAAACACAGGAGAGCTTACAGCAGTTATTGGTAATTTATTTAGTATTTAGTAAATCTTTATCTTCTTTTTCTTCCTCCCACCAAATAATCCGACTCCACATATTTTGTAGATGCTCTGTGTTACATGCTTACGATGACTGGACCATATCTAACTGTGCACTGCAGAAAACGGGTAAAATTAGCTCCAGCCCTCCACTGCAACCAGCAAGAACAACCGGAGAAAACTGATATTAAAGGAATAGTACACCCAAAACATGATTAGCCTTCATTTTCTACTCACCCCCATGCTGAACAACACCCTGGAGTACTTTTTTGATATCTCAAATGCATCTGGAGATCTGGGAGGCTTCTTGCTGTCTGCTGACATTCAAATAATGGAGGTCTATGGTGACCGAGACAGAAAGGTCCATAAAAGTCCACAAAAAACGTTTCAATATTCCTCCATACTGCTCGTCCAATGTATTCCAAGTGTCCTGAGTGGGTAGCATCCAGAATTTACTCGAAACGAAGTCATTTAGAATGTTTTTAGAGCATAAACAGTAGTGTATAGGATTTCCTGAAAGCGCGCGCCGGCGCGTTCATGAAGCTACGGAAGCCGACAGACCAAACCAGATGAAAGTGCGCATTCAGCGTCTGCTCTTCCAATAATGCAAGCGTAGAAGAAGAAATGTGCCATTTACCTGTGCAAAGAAAGAAACAACGAAAGAAAAATGTCTGAGGACTTCAGTGTTGAGGAAGAGCATGAGTTCTTTGCCGAGCTGAATGCGCTGGTTTGGTCTGCCGGCTTCCGTAGACTCGTGAACGCGCATGTGCGCGCTTTCAGGAAATCCTATACACTACTGTTTATGCTCTAAAAACATTATAAATGACTTCGTTTCGAGTAAATTCTGGATGCTACCCACTCAGGAAACTTGGAATACATTGGACGAGCAGTATGGAGGAATATTGACACGTTTTTGTGGACTTTTATGGACCTTTCTGTCTCGGTCACCATAGACCTCCATTATTTGAATGTCAGCAGACAGCAAGAGGCCTCCCAGATCTCCAGATGCATTTGAGATATCAAAAAAGTACTCCAGAGTGTTGTTCAGCATGGGGGTGAGTAGAAAATGAAGGCTAATCATGTTTTGGGTGTACTATTCCTTTAATATCATATATCATATATCATACATCTTTAAACAAACTGCATGTTTCTTAACTTAATCTATATGATAGAATGGAAACATCTGAATATTTTTTTTTTATTTTTTTTTTACAAACGATTCCAAAAACAGAATACTGACTGGTTTCCAAATTAAACACGATTAAAGAAAATATTCATATAAAATTCAGATTGAGCATTCATAACACCCCTACAATAATAGTATTTATTCTAGTTTTTTTCTCTCCAATCTTATTTGCCATTCTTTGCCAAATGAGCCTCCTTCACACCAGACTTTCGTTATTTAAGAGACACCAACAACCATGCTGTCTTTTAGTAGCACTTTTTTTTTTTTTTTTGCGTTGCTCACTTTTAGAGCAGCTTGGGGTGCTGAGCCATATATGAAACTTTTTTTTGTTGCTGCTGTGTTTAAGACAGTGTGTTTTCGTATATGTTACGAAAAACAGCTTCTGAGTCTTCAGTAAGATAAGACCCACATTCAACCATGACTAGCAGGTGCTCTTAGCAATCATATGATGCAGAAGGGATGTGATAGTAAGTTTATTTTTCCAACCACTCTGCCTTTTTGGAAATGTGTGAAATTTGCAATTTACATTCAGCTGCTTTAGCTTTTTTTTTGTCAGCATTCCTTGAACACTTCATTTACTAAAGAAAAGCTAATTATAGTGACACATTTTGGAAGTAGGTTACTGCTACTACTATCCACAAAACTAGCTCCAGCACTACACTAGGATAAGTATTGATTCAGAAAATTACCCTTTATAAGCACCATTGGCGGATCTTGAGTGAATATTTTCCTCGGTAATCGCTTTACTTGTACATATCACCAACCAATTAAATTGTAGGAAGTCCTCATGGATAAAATCAAATGCAGCGTAGGCCTGAACAAAGCATGAAGTGGAAAGCGTTAACAACTTTGGGCTACTGCCCCATATGAACCATGGAAAAGACCACCACTGTTGAGAACCAAATGTAAACGTGCTCAAAGACATTAACAACCCATGAAATTCTTATATAGATTATTTTCAAACTTCTTCTTTGGCTTTCAGACTAAATCACTTTTAATTGATAAAATTCAGGAAAGATGGAAAATTGAGACAAAATAAATTCAAAGCAGGTGGGTCCGGATCCGGACGGCGGTCCGCTAATCTGTGACCTCTGCTCTAGAGTTTTAGACTCGTTTCTGCATGCTAGTTCATCCTTTCCTCATCCAAGGCTTGAGAAAAAGCTCCCTTTATCGCTTCAGGGTTCCAGGCTGAAGAGGCTCCTAGAACACAACTTAGTGTCAAAGTCTGATACTGGCTGGTTACCCTGTTTTAAATTCCACATCTGAGAATTTTAACGACTGAAAACTAGTGAACAGTCTGGAACAATAGCAGAATCCACATTAAAAGAGGTTCAGAAGAATTACAACAAGAAAGATAATCCTGGTTTAGGTCTTTGGCTGGAATAAAATTAGGGGTAATCATACGGCAAAGAGAGATGATCCTTTGTCTCCTACAGACTTTTCATCTTAATTCAGAAATGTTGCAGGAACACGGGTTGGCCTAGCCACCAGCAAAGATCCTCTCTGTGACAAGACACTCACACCAGATAAAAACCAAAACCTCAGGGACCCTAACATCGGTAAAACAATGTTTAATTGTATTCTTTCAAAGAATCAGTTAAGTTGTAACACTAAAACCATTTTGCTCCTTTCTTTCTTTGGCTATTTTTTAATACATAAGACGCAAAATACTTATTTGTACCAAACAAGGTAGCAGATTCGAGTCAGGCTTTATGTTGTGCAGAACTGTCATGTCATCAACATTGGGTTTAATAAGTCTAATGATATGTCCTGTAGATGCATCAGATCAAGCAGAGATAATGTTGAGACCTCTGTCTATATGACAGTTTCACAGTATCTCAGGGCAATCTGTTTAGACATAATTGGATGGAACAATCAATATGAGTTGGAAGAGGCAGAAGATGATAAATTATAATCTAAAGCAAGCTACTGTTTTTTTTCAGATGAAATATATCCTGAACAAACAGTCCAGAGAGTTTAGAACATTGAAAAAGGAGAACTGAGGAAAAGTAGTTTTTATAAACAAGCAGCTACAATCTCCCCAACAGTAGGGCAAAATTGTAGTCTTCAAATGTATATGTAAATCCCTTTACTTTTCCATAATAGAGAAATTCACTCTCTGTATTTGACCCATCCCCTTGGGGAGCAGTGGGCTGCCATTGTGTGGCGACCGGGGAGCAGTGTGGGGTTAAGGGTTTTGCTCAGGAACCCAGAGTGGAGGTTGTGGGGATCGAACCGTGTACTTTCAACCTTCTCAGAGCACGAGCGCACTGCTCTAACCACTAGAGCATGCTTCAACAACTCTCTTATAATCCTTTAATGAAGATTGACCTTCTGTTAGAAGACTAGAGACAATAACAATGTAAAATTTTACGGTAAAAGTGATTGTCATTCAGAAAGTTTTTAAAAGACTATTGTATTATCTGGTTAAAAGCTATTAAAAAAAACAATAGTTTATTTTTTTTCCTGGAAAGTTTCTGATGGAGCCAAAAAAAAAAGAAGGCATTTAAAACTAAAATAGACTTCCAGTAGTAGAACAGAAACATATTCAGGTATCAGGAGAGAGATCTAACCTGCGGTGTCATCCCATGACAAAGATACAGGATGGGGACGTTGTCATTATCTGGTCCCTGGTCCAGACACAGATCATTCTTTAGGGAGTTCTTTAACTGAGAATAGAAACAGACAGAAAGAACATTTCTATATACAAGCAAAGAAAGTATTGACACCTTTTGACTGCATATATTTCATAATCCAGTAATAAATCTGCTACTGAATCTCGGCACTTGGAGCATCAAAAATCAGGATGCACAGGACAAAGGACAAAGTTTCAGGACAAAGCTTTATTGAAGAGATTCGGCAAAGAGTAGTCAAGCAACTCATGAGATTTAAGAACTAAATACTAAGTCCACCTTGTTGCTTTATTATAAAGTAATTTAGATAATAGATGGTGGTTTTTAAAGAGAAATCTGATCTCAGAACACAAGATATTTTATTTTACATACAGCTAACATTTTTTCCTTTTAAATCCCTACAGCAGGCCTTATTTCATCTTTTTTTGTCAAATAGATTTGAGAAGTCATGATGTAATTAGTGTTTTGTTGTAATCCATCAGTAAAATGACAAATTACTGAATTAAAAAATGTGAAAAAAAGGGGATGATGGTTAAATTCACTTCTATAATGCGTGGAAAGCTATAGGACAAGATGATCATGTGTGGGGTCCAATTTGCTTATTGTGCATCAGTTCAGACAGAGGTAGCTTCAGAAATGATTTCTCCTCATTCCTATGGAGCAATATTCCCTGCTCTTACTTGGAGGAATATTAATTTGAATTCTCAGATTTATTATATAATGTAGATCCTTTAAAGAAAGTAGGATTCTTACCAACAACCACAGAGAGAATGAAACATTTTTGTGACACAAAAGCCCACCCACCTTTACTGTGATTCACATAATATGAAAATATTATGAAAATTAAATCAAAATTCAAAAACACTGTAGATGACTGAGTGGGTTAGAACATCTAAAATGAAAAACATACTCTGAATCTGCCATAAGTCAATTTTGCACAGCAAATCAGATAAGCTTTCCTTCCTGAACATTATTCAGTCATTCGGGCCCAGAGGAAAATTATGGATGCTCGTCATGACAAAGGTCTCTCTGATTACAAGGTACGTTTTGCACAGTGGGACGCTCCAGTGATAGTGCTTTTAGATGAGAAAAAAAATAAAGGCAAACATGGGTATTAATATAAAACAAAAAAGAGAAAATACAATCGGGAACAATTTCAAATCCCAGCTTGCACTACATCTGACAATCAGTAAACCTACCGGTAGCTTCAGTGTTCTGTCAACAACACATGACCAAATATTTCCAATGCAAGGAAAAACAAAAAAACAGCAAACTAGCAGCAATGACCCACACGTGTAAATACATGGCTACATTTAGAGCTCATTTAGGCTCCTGTAATGAGTGGTATATTTTAATAAATGGGCTCGGAGCGCTTTAAAGAAGCCCATCAGAATGACCTTAACTACTCCGACATCAACAATGTTTGAACAAAACAGAGTTTTAGTTGTAGCAGGAAGCTGCTGACCTTGACTGAGGACATTGTTGGACAATGGAAAGAAGACTGAAGATCTCCTTAATTAACCTGGCATAGCCTGGTGAAGCAGATCAGACTTGATCTTCACCCAGGATGATGTCACCAAGGGGCGGAAAAACTCCACATTGGCAGGTCTTCGGGAATTAACTAGATCAGCCCTGATTATATATATATATATATATATATTTTGAAACACCTCTTTAACATTGCATAGTGACCAGGAACACTGCCTCTGGGTCAGCAGACCACGGTGATGGACTGGGAGAGAAAGCCGGAGAACCGGGAGAGAACCCACGCATGCATGGGGAGAGCATGCAAACTCGATGCAAAGAGAGAAAGATCATGACCAGGAAATTGAACCCAGGACCCTCTTGCTGCAAGGCATCAGTGCTACAAACAGCTCCACTGTGCACCCCTGAGGATCAGCTCAGTCAAAACAAAATTAAATAATTTATACATCCCATAATGTCACAGGACAGCGCCCAGCTCTTCTACACTGACTGCATCTTAAAGCTGTGCGACCAGCTGTTCCTTTATGAGCAATATGCTTTCTACACGGTCTACACGCATTAATCTTTCTTCATTCATGAGACGCTCTAGTCGGAGACATTTGTGGGGAGATTTCTTGCCAGTCAAGAAATCATGGGTTCTCATTTCATTTCTAAAATTGACCACATTGGAACTTAGCAGCTGTGCAACACAGCCTTCTGCTGCAGACCTCAGCCCCCTGTCTGTGGTTTACATCATTATAAAACTATGAGATCACAGAAGGACAAATAAACCTATTCACAATGCGAATCCAAGAAAATTGTATGGTGATGTGGAAGTAAAGTTAAGCAGCAGAATAAAAAGCTAAATGCATAACAAACTAGTAATAAAGGGCCACATTTCCTCATGTGATAATTTTGATATTGATTACTTTAACCATTTCCTTTATTTAAAGTAGCACAAAGAAAATCAGAAAAAACATCCATAAAACCCAACATACTATTTACATTAAATGAGGGCAACATTCAGCAGTATGTAACAAATCCTCACACCATCCTGAACATAATAATAATGTCAATGTCAAAAAAATAGGTAAATGTAAGTGGACACATAACTTTAAGATTTAGACATATTCCTTCTCTGTTTAGATCCACTATGTTTCAGCTTGTAAAATATACAAAAATATCCAGAGGCCCCAGAAATAATTTCTAGAGTGTGATCTATGTGGCAGTCTGTGTTCGAGTGCTCCATATTGATGCAAGGTGGGAGGACTGAGGAAAGAAAGCTATTTGATAACAACTAGAAACGGGTAAATAGAAGCATTGCCAGGATGTCCTGTTGGCTGTCAGTATTTCTGGCAGGAATACTGACAAGCCTCAAAGAATTTACATATCATGGATGATTCAGTTAATTTATCCTTTGATTTATACAAAGAAAAAAATGTAATGAAAAAAAGGCACAATATGTTTTACTTGTAATGGAATTGAAAAGGTTATGCTTCATGTATTAAATGTACACATCATCAAAGCATCATGTTGGATTTAAATAATGTACTTCAGCATTGCTATAGGCATGTTCTGGTTTATTTTAGACACTGTGTGAAAGCTGTGAAGAGAACGGAAGCTTACCACTCCATATGCGATGGTGTCGCTGTACATCCTCATCTCAGGGTAGATGTTAACCAGGTACCAGCGAAATGTTTTACACTGCAGCCTCTTCCTCAGTGCTTTCCTCTCTGAGATGTTTCCAATATCAATCCCTGGGTCCTGGGATTGTTCAAATAATCATACATGCAAACATAGTTGTGAACACATGGACAAAAAGAACAGGAGTTTTTAGTCTTTGCCAACAAGGGAATCATGTAATAAGTCACTAATATGAATTTTCCACGCCCTTCCAAATAAAATGATCCCCATTGATGTGGAAATTACTTATTATCCACCTGCTTAATTAAACAACATAGCGGTAGCCTTGTCTTGTGGCCCAAGAATTGAAAAAAACAAAACAAAACAACAAATAACTGGGTGAAAATAGACCTATCTAATTACACTTTAGATACAAAGTTAGATACAATTTTCCATTATTGCAGTATTTTTTTTTTTTTACAGTTACTGCATTGACATTGTTCTCATCACAAAAACCCAAGAGAAAATTGGTTCTGAAAGTACAACACATCTGAAAGTTACCATTCTTTTTTGCAAGTTTTGTTAGGTCTATTAATCATGATTTTGGCGACTGGAGATGGAAGACAGGCAGCAGAACCTTTAGCTGAACATGGCTAAGAGCTAACATGCCTTTCTCCTGGTATCCTCTGGATGGACCTAGGGCACAGGTATTCAAGCTTTTTATCGTGTAGGTGTTTGGTCAAAGGTACTAAAAAGCCAACAAATTTACAACTATTAATATTTAGAAAAATAATATATATATTTTTTTATTATTTCTGATAATTTTTTGTTTTAACATAACAGCAAATGGTTATGTAAATTATGGCAGAGCCGGAGTTTCAAAAACAGCCATGCAGTTTGCAATTTCATTTGAGCATAAAGGAAAAGAGTAAACTACTATCAATATGAACAGGATTTGGGTTAGCCTTTTTTTTTTTAAGTTTAAGTTTTTAGTTTGTAGTTTAGTCAAGTTTACCGACTGAGTACAAATCAGATTTTAGTGCAGCATATACTGTTGAGGATAAAATCATGTACTTTAGGCTACTGGTTGCTTTTTCTCCTGGTAGGCTTTGGCCTTACATGCAGTCTTTTAAGAATATGCAGGTCTTCTTTGGAGTTATGCTTAAAGCCATTTATTTCACTGTTTCCACTCTCTTTCCATTTCCATTTACAACAAAATAAAACCAACATAACTTCTAACTAAGCACAGTAGAAAACAGTTTGCCTCTTCTCGTTTGGCAACACTTGAACAGAATTACACCTGATCTTAAATGACTCCATCCCCCCTTCCAACATAAGCAAGGCATAAAAGGTGGTGGAGATAAATACAGAAACATAAAGTATATGGCTCCTACAGATACATTTAAAAGGATAGGTCTTGTTGTTAAAATAGAATACTTTGTGTTGCACTTTAAGTTTTTAAAATTTTGATTGCCGCGTAATATATACCCTAAAGAAAATAAGAAAGTCTCCATCAGTCAATTCATTCTTGTACAAGTCAGAACTACAGAAGCAAAAAGAATACCAGCAACTAAAAGACAACTTTGCTCTAAATTTACCAGCAGTCCAAGCAGCTAACGTGCTCATGTGAAGAGGAAGTATGTTACCTTCTGGGACTGTTCTGGTGAAAAGCCTTTATGTTGATAGAGTATATATATCTGAAGAAAAATCTGATGATAGGTAGATTGGTATCAAACCACTGGCTTATAAAGCAGTTCAGCCAGACACTCTGACTGTAGAAGAGAAACTGCTGAAAGAAAATACTTCAGCGTCTATCAGCTAAATGATTTATGTTTGTAATAAAAATGTATTCTAAATTCTATTTCAGTAATTTCAAATTGTGAAATTCTGTCATTTTGCATCTTCCAGTCTCTTAATAGCCCATATTAATTCAAAATTCACTAGGTTTAGCGTTAATGAATGAATTGCTTCCACTAATTGTCATGTACTTTAAATCAACAGTGGGTTTATCTGTAATCCTTGTCAAAGTGCTGCTTTTTATTAAAGGATCTTTTTCAGTTTCTCAAAGCTTATTCCGTTGTTTTCTGTGTGATATCAAATTAAATGGGTGTAAATGTTGCTGACGAAGCTCCAGGACGCTGAGCCGATTAAATTGGAACTCAGACGAGTGCAAACCTACAATGAACACGGTAGATGTTTGTGATCTCAATTAACACTGACAATTTTCCTGTGTAGTTAATTCATGAGGCTGAAGCCGGGGTGAAATTTCATGCTACTTGAGTACAGCCTCTGCTAAATGCCCCATTATTGACTCAGTGAACTGCCTGCAGATGTTCAGTTCCACTATTTATAAAATAGATTTACATAATCAAACAAATTAGGACAAGGGAAATAGACTAAGGCAGCAAACGCTTAAATTCCCCTTCAGGGTAAACTTAATTCATGGTATGCTTAATTGAAAACATGATATTTTCTTTTATGATAACTATCCAACTCAAGAGCAAAGAAAAAATCATTATTTTTATAGAAACCATTGTACTGCACAATCATTAATGGAATAACACCAGCATTTGTTTTTAATATACGAAGGACTGCTGTTTCTATATACAATCTTAGATATTCACTAAATTAATCCAATTTCTTCCTTTAATTTATGATTAAATAAAATTATGAAGATCTTAGTTTTCTTAAATTAACTTTGTCTTACGCTGTGATATTTTTGTTCAACTAAGTCACAGCTTTAATCCAATTTCTCTCCTCAGTTCATCTTTCATAATTCTATTGTCAGCCTCCAGCACAGCTTATTTTAAGCTGTAATGCCTATATTTAGACCATTTCCCTGAATCACATTAGGAATCTATTTATTCTCTAGCACATTGCTATTTCAGGACAATCTGCAAGTGACAAAAACATAATTTCATGTGGTCTTTAAGAGGTGTCAGCCGCTTTTAAACAAATAAATGAAACTGGAAAAAGGCTGATGACTTATAAACTAAAAGCCTTTTGGCTGAAGGGTTTCTCTTTTATTGCTGCAAATAAATTCAACCATTTTTTATTAAAGTATTTATTAACCTGTTCATACATGTGGTTAAATACTGTAAATGTATGTTTTAACCCAAGACTAATGCATAGCGTATTTGGCACCAAACATCAGTCTATAACTAACCAAAGGAAAATGGTTGTAATCACTTCAGATGTCTTTAGTGATAGTTTGTTAAAATTATATCTTGTAGTGCAGTGGTTCCCAAAGATTTTCTTCTGGGCCCCCCTTTGGATTACAATAAAATGTCCACGAATTTTAAAATGGGAACCACTGTTTTAAAATGGGAACCACTGTTGTAGTGTATGCGTATTGTTTATTTGGCTTTTTAAATATTTAGCCAGTTTATATTTGGCATAAAAGATGCATGCATGCAGTAGTTTGCGTTTAATAGGAAATGCTGCCCATAAAAAGACTGAAACTTCATAACAGACGGCTCACAAAGGACATCTGAGAAATGAGCAATCCCCCGCATTAAGGTTTGTTGCTTCTGGTTTTCACAGAAAATGAAATTTCCGGCAGAATTTGATTGTTCAATAAAATAAACTGATGTATTCCATGTTTTTTCTCTCCCGCAATACTGTCACATTAGTGCTGCTATGGCTTTATTACGTCTGAGAAATGCTATTTCCTTCTGTGGTGTTCAGCTTATGATTTAGAATGATATTAAAGCCAATCTGGAATCTTAAGTTTCATATTTGTGCGCATTAAATTATTTTCTTTTCTCTTTCTGCTCCAAGAACACCACAGAATAATGCTAAATAAGACAAAAAGACCAGCAGGACTGACAGCGACAAATTCTACTGCAAACATTTTGGCACGTAGCATAAAGTTTGACTGAATATAATTAAGGTAAACTTAAGCATGCACATAGACAATTATATTTAAATTATTCCCTTCAGATAGATACGATTATGTCTAAGAAAATAAAGATTACTACTGGAAGAAAGTGTCATTTTTCCTTCAGAATCAAAAAACCAAAAAATATAGACTCATTTTTAGAATTTCTCAATTAAACTCTCCTAAATTGCTTCCTATTTAAGACCTTAATGCAAAGGTAACTCTGCATATATTGATGTCCGAGTTAAGTTTTCTTCAATAGATAAGAGAGAGAAATGCATGTGTAACATATGCTATGGAATATCATTAGCTATCCAAATGATTTAGTTAATTTGGGAAAAGACCATGATCAGAATTGCTTTCTGTTTGCAGGACACTTCCCACGCCCTCATAGAACATTAAGTCCAGCAAATTTTTATCCTCACTGTGATCGCAAAACATCCATAGTATATAACCTTGGAAGGTTGCACTCCCAAGCTGTTTATCTGAATGCCTGACAATGCAACCTACAAGGTCATTTCTCACAGTTTACAAAAAGGACTGAGACCAAAGGCTTATCAATAGATAATCTTATTTAGATTTTAAAGACATAGTTTAGATATTATCTATTCATTTATTCCCTGAACTCCCATTTGAATCCCATTTTTCGAAACAAGGAAATTTATTTTCTTAAAATATCTTTTTTTTTTTTAATCTTTGACAACCTTTCGCACAACACAGCTGTGTTTGCTCACTCATTATCAAAACAACATTGGCAATATTTTAGTCGAACAATCATTTCAGCCTCTCTGTCCGCTACCTGCTCTTTCTCAGCATCTCATATCAACACAAACATCAAAAAATGGAGATGAAAAGATTTTAGCTAATATGAATAATTTGCATCCTTTAAATAATTATGATTTTATAATAAAGTTCATAGTTCTTGTTTTACAGTTAAAATATGGCACAGATAAAGGGGATGCAAAAGAAAAGTGTTCCTAATGCTGCTAAAATCAGTAAGGACCACAACAGTAAATTAACTCTTTGTTTGCTATGATGGCAAATGAAAAACAATCACTCACCTCAATGGGGACATTCCAAGCCATATAGACGTGGCTTTTGAACTCATCCATCCAAACCTCTGCGACTCTGAGAGCATTTCGCCGAACATGAGACGTCAGATCATCAGTATATGGTTTGTGTGCACGTTCTATGTGGGCTATACGAGCGCAGGGCAGGACCTCCACACTACCACCACACTGCCACACCTGAGACAAATACAATACATAAAAAAAACACAAAAAAACAGTCAGCTTATACAACTTTAGGAAATGTAACGCTAAAAGACCAGATGAGCATTAAAATGTTTTCTGACTGATGCTAACATCAGACTGTTGTTTTGTTGGAAATGCAGTTTTGGGATCTCCATGGTGCTGATGGCAGCATGCCTGAACTGGTTAGAGCATGTACTGGTTGACAAATGCCTATTCTTAATCAGCTTTTATAACCTGCCATCATCCTGCTTGTGATGTGTTAGGGTTTGTACTGAGAAAAAAAAAAGTTATCCCAGTGCACATGACAGCAGAATAAAAGCCAATACTACAAAATCTATTTATAATAAACCTCTATATACAGCTGTTATCCCTCATCTAGGATTTCTTTCATTAAAAATGATATGCTAATAAATTGTGTTTTGTGTTGGTAGTTTTGCATATTATTATGCATTCCAAGTGTAGGAAAAAATTCCATCAAGAGTTTTTAATTAAACAATCAGACAAAAGACTTGTTGGTGATCACTTGATTCATGAAAAACCCACTTTAAATAATTACTTCTTTTCGCTCTTTATTACATTCTTAGATAAATTAGAAGCCCAGCAGCATTCTTTTAATCCCATTTTAATCAATATATAAAAAAAAAAGTTCTAAAATTACCATAGTTAAAACTTGGAGTGGGCTGGCTTGGATAATGAATGAAGAGAATCACAATGCTGCTGATTAGTGTCTAAAATGGTCACTTTGAGCATTTCAAAAAAAGCTGTGAAGATGTTAACTCCTTTGATCATCTCTATCGGGGTTAATCAAGGACATTTCTCTGCAATAACAATTTCTCTACCAGAGCCTGTAAAGTGTGTCCAAAAATCACGTCTGTGTGCTGAGCTTAAGTCTTCCTAGACCACCCATGTTGAAGATGAGTAAGGTTAATATCTGCACTGAAAAGCTTATGTAGGAGCAGTAAATTCCATCAATTAACTATCATAAAGCAAAGTTACAAACTATTTGGTGCAAATCAGCTTCAAAATCAGTCTAATAGCAGCAGTGTGAAAGAATACAGCAAATTACTTTATTCATATATTTTGAGTCGCATTCATGAAATTATTTCTCGATTTGTCTACTACTTTTTCGGTATATATGTATTCATAGTACAATATTACTGTATCAGAGTAGCAGGATCCTGCTGCTAGGCTCAGATTCTATTGTATGAATGATGTTTTAAAATAAAAGGACAGATGTTTTGGCTCAGAAATCTGCTCAAGCTTCATGGAGGTGATTACCTTTGAAGAGTTGGTGAATAATTTCAAAATATCTTTTCTGGGCTTTGTTACGTGCTCTGTTTATGTCAGTAGTTGAATTTGCGGTCGACTTTGTGTTACTGAAGGCCTGAGCTTAATTCAGGATCTTTGGTTTTAGAACAGGTGATATCAGTAAGGTAAATCTATTCTGAGTCGAGTCAGTGGCTGATTCCAGAAGATCAAATTGCAGATCCTACCTCCTGCTCCTAGCACCATCCCTTCACCTTTTGCTGGGTCAATAGTAAGAACACTATCCAGGGTAGGAAAGAAAGTCTGGTCGGCTGAGCTGAATCCAGATGGCCTTAAACCTTATGGATGTCAGTATGCGACAGATGTTCACATGGATGATGCTTGTCAAATTGAAAGTACAGCCTTCAGGAAAGGCAAAACCAAAGTTACCACAAGTTTATTCAGGAGAGCGAATCCTGCAAAGTCAATGACTTAATGTCATTAGCTGGGCTTTGTTTGAAAGAGAACTTAAACCAATTGGACTGTATAATCTGATTTAATTGTCTCTGTAAAGCAGTTAAGATGACATATGTTGTGAATATGCACTATATGAATAAAACCGACCACTTTTGAACTAAGGGCTACTAGGGTATTTGCCTTGCAGTAGTGTTCCCACCCTTTAAGTAAAAATGTACGTGCTGTACTGATGCAGTTGTGTCTTTCACCAGTGAAAACCATTTGAAAGTAAATATATATTTACATACATATATAAAATTGCATATATCTATAAACTTAAATATATATAATAGTATTATATAGTTAGTATAGCTGTAATACTTACAATTTATATAACAATAATTCTTAGTAGCAGTATTAGAAGTAAAATTCCAGTTTAGAAAGTATATTTTCTTCTTTATATAAACATACATTTTCATCTAACAATTGAACACCAAGAAACTCAGGTATAATTTTAGTCTTCTTCACAGAGTCAGAAAAAACCCAGACATTTAGGGCATTTCTTGAATTGTTATGGAGGATAGACTGATGGATTTGAATAATTAAAGTTTTAAAAGTTTCAAAAGTTTTATTACTCCTTATTAAAGCCTAAAATTACATAAAAAAGGAAATTGCTGCTATCTTGAATAACACAGGATTTAAAAACAGAGGTATCTGTTATTGGCACTACAAAAAGCAAACATGGTTCTCAGTAACATTATTTCATTACATCACATATGTAAGTATTTAAGATTTCCAGTTAAAAAAAACTACATCTAAATAGTTTATTAGAGAAATAATATTACGTTAAATTACTAGAGTTCCGATAAGATTTGATTTGAAAAAAATAAGGAATAAAATTGTATTGAAAAATGTCTATAATCTTTTGCTATGGGTTATAGCAACACAATACACTTAAACTGTTGTTGCACCTACATATTCAGAAGATGGTTTTATCTTCAATGGAATTATATCAATATTATCCCTTTTCCAATGTTTTGTGTAAAGTTCTCTCCTGACTCTGAAAGTAATGCTTAAAAACTTATCTCTTCCTTTTTTGTTCTATATATTCACTACAAAACTAAATAGTTGCTGTAAGTTTGTCCAATATCCACTGGCTGCAGTCAAAAAAAAAAAGAAAGCAGCCATTTACCACTGGATGTTCCTAATGGTTTCCTTTGCCTTTGAACGATCAAACCCACCATCCAATTTGCATCTCGACTCATGCAATCTGTTCTCTGTGTTTGTGAGCAAAAAACAATGCTGCAGCAAACAATTATTGGACGCTTTGCCTGTACACAGTCCTCAGCGTGACAATTTCCTCCCTTGTCATGTTGTAAAATAGCTGGCAAGATGTGTAAACACAATTATGAACACTTGCTTTGTGTCATTTAGGGATGGAAGAATATTTCAGCCACATTGCAATACAATGAAGGCACCACTTCCCCTCCTCCAGTCCCTATATAATTCAGTTTTGTTTTATTAGGAGTCAGTCCCACACTCAAATTAGTTTTTTCAACTCCACTGCATGAAGCAGTCTAGATCAAAAGAGCAAAAGCACTTACTTAATGTAAACAGGACCGACATTTTTTATCCCACCATTTCTTCCAATTCCTCCACTTGGAATACTGTTTCCAAAACCTACAAGATGTTTTTCCAAGTTTATATTTTCACTTATTTTCAGTAGAGAAGTCCCATATCACAGCTGTGTTTGCTTAGACCTATTACCAGATCACCATCAGCATTAGTGTGGGATCATTTAATTGCTACTCTCATTGGAATCTAACAAACAAGAAAGCAAATGGAAGAGGAGCTGTCTGATTCAAGTTGAGCCGTACAGTAACTCCCATTTTTGCTAATCTCCTGAGCTCTCCAATCACTCTTTTAGCATCTAACAATGACTGCACACATCAGCTGTGCTGCTGCAAACATCTTTCTTCTTTTAATAATGTGGAGAAGTTTGTAGGAAATATGGCATCCTGATGAAAATAAACTAGGTGGAGAGAAAAAATAACAACCAGCTCCATGTTCCAGAGAGGTGAAGGACAGATGCCCCACTGGAAACTTACAATATGTGGATGTTTTGAAAGCACAGCTGCAGACTTAATATGGTAGGAAGGATACTTCAACAAGTATTAACAGAAATAAACGTATCAGACTGCTAATAGTTTCTAGGATTCCATACATCCATCAGTCCATGTTCTCCAGCTTATCCTGTCAGGCTCACGTTGGAGACGGTGCTCATCTCTGGTAGTCTACGCAACCATGGACAGGTCGCCAGTCTGTCGCACGGCAACACACAGAAACACAGACATACGACCATGCACACACACACACTCCTACTTAAGAACAATGTAGAGAAGCCAATTATCGTAACAGTAATGATTTGGACAGTTGGAGGAAGCCGGAGTACCAGGAGAGAACCCAGGCATGCACAGGCTGAATATGCAAACTCCATGCAGAAAGGTGGATTATGTACAAGTGCAAAAATGTACCTACTCCCTAAATTAAAAAAAAAAAAAAAAAAAAAAATATATATATATATATATATATATATATAGAGAGAGAGAGAGAGAGAGAGAGAGAGAGTTTTTTTTTTTTTTTTTTTAGAAATAGCCAATATTATAATAACATAAATATATAAGATTAGTTTCTCCCAATCTTTCAACCCTAGCTACTGCTGGATCCTTATTTCCACAGCTACTCCCAATCAGTTAATTACCTCAGTCTTTACTCCTCCTCTTCAATTACTGTTTGCTGGTTTCTCATTGTTTCTTTGCTCCTCGTTTGTTTTCCCTGACGTCACTTGGTTTTCTGTATTTTGTTTCTGTACTTTTCCCAACAAGCGATAACTGTACAAACTTATTTTGAAATTGTCAAAAAACTACTACAATATAACATTTTATAAATGTTTTATTTGACAATCAAAATGCATAAAACAACATATCAGTCAATAAATGCTGTAATCATTTACTGTGATGTCTATTGAAATATGGAAAATCAGTCATATCACTGTCATTTGATAAAATCCTTTTAAGATATGTACTGTATATATTGAAAATGATTTATTGTTCAGCTATATATACAATATTTGTGTTTATCTCTACATCTTTCCAATATTAAGCTCTTAAAGAAGCTACTCCTGCATTCAAGTCTTTAGTTTTACTTTAATTAAAGCCTGTGAAAACGAATGGCGCATCACAAATTATTATCATGGCAGCCAAACCACTACTGCAAACCTCTATAATCAGCAG